TGAACTAGACCCTTTCATGGAACATAAAAGGGAGTGAGTTTCATTGATGTATCATACATGCTTGTATGCTGCACGGACCACCAGATAAAACTCTCAAGATAATTAGTCGGCCCAGGAATTAATCAAATGCGGGGGTTGAAACACCAGGTCTGAGTGACATCAAGGTGAAGAACAGTTTGATCTCTTGCCGTTTGATGAAAGATTGGATCTTAAAAAGACATTACAAAACTTAATGATGCAAGAAAATAACGGAGCCCAAGTCATTCAGTCTTCTCTAATCTGTTGACCTTATACAGGTCTTATTGGAGACATGTGCAGTGGGGAAAAAAAAGAAAATTTACAATCGCTCATTATCAGAATGTCAACTGTTAAGTGTGTACTTAGTCGGGGGACATTCTGCATTTGTAATCTGAGTCTGAATTGTGTTCATGTCGTGTTTTTTTTTTTTCTCAGTTGCTCACTCATTTGAATGAACGGAGTGAAATCTGTGTGTGTACCACATGAACACACTTCCTATAACATAACCGCCTCTTTCCAAGACATTGTGTTACATGTGCCGTTGGTTCAACAATGACAGGAATGAAACCCAGCTATGACACAAGTAGGTGGTTTCAAAGCACTCTGGGATGCATTTGTCAGACAGCAATAACAAGAAGAAGAAATGGGCCGACAGTAAGACTTGATTGGTGTAATTAAATAAAATTGTTTTATTTGAAAGTCCTCCCTGCCCACCCCCTCAGTCTCAGAAGGTCAATACAACAGACTATAGCTCTTGTCCCTGATGGCATTTGTTCAGACATAACAAACTCTGACAAGGTTTATGACTAAAGTCAATGCTGCCACAAGAGGAAATTAAAAGTGTACCATAAGACACATGAGGAATGCATGTTTCAATGCAGCGGAAGGGAATGTAAAGTAATTCTCTGCACACAAAGAGAAACACACATACACACCTGACCACTGACCACACCTGACAACCTGCAAATCTATTATTCCCTACCCACGATCCTGACTGCAGGCCTCCCACTTACAGATGGCAGACCTTACTGTTCTCAAGACTACTGAACTGCAAAATTACCATTTCAATCCTTGCGAGGCGCACAGAAAGAGGAGCAAAGGGAGAAACATTAACAACAAGCTGCTATTTTATTCCATAATACCTGTTGTTCTATTCATGTGGGAGTCAACTCTGAAGCTCCTTCTAGACTGTGAAAGAGCTTTTGTCAACCTGGCAATTTGACTGTTATATAACACCAGTAGCAATCACCATCACAGTGAACTTTTATATGAATCTTGCTCAGAAATATCCTGCATTATGTATACTTCTGACATTCAAAAAGGAATCTAGAGGTATCCTAGGACTCACTTAGATGTCCCATGAAAGTATCACCTGCACATGTTGTTTTTTTAAAAAGCCAGGAAATAAAATAAGGACCACAGCTGTATCAAGTGACACAGATCTGTAGTTCCTGTCATTAATCTGTAATGTCTCTTTTTGACTCCATCCTGAGTTGTGCTCTCTCTGCTCTGTGGCACAGCTGTGGAGCTGAGGATAATAGAGGATTCTGTGAGCATCCGTACGGTGCAATAATGAAAAACGCCCCACGCTGCGAGAGGAAATAGCAGATTTCATAATCCGTCTGAGGCCTTGGCCCTGGTCGCTGGTCCATGGAGACAGTCTCATTAAACTTCTCATTAGTGACACACTGAGCTTCTGTAATGACTGAATGCATATACAAATCACCTCAGACATGAAAGGAGGGACAACAACAATGGACTCAGGCTCCATCCCTGTGCTGCCAAGTCCTCTGATAACAGCATTTGTACCTGGCAAATGGAACAGTATTGCACATCTGTTTACAGTCTGGCAAGACAGTTTGTTTAAAAAAAAAAAAAAAAAAAAAAAAAAAAAAGAGTCATTGATTGATTTCTGTAATTCATGCTCTCCAACTACTGTATCCACTAAACCTCATGACACTTCCAACCAAGGGTAAGATTAAAAAAATACAAATTTAATCTGCGTCTTTGGTGGCAAGCTATCATAAATCGAATCAAAGCGCCCTGTCCTGTGGATGTGAATCGCAATTTCATGTTGTTCATTTCAATATATGAATTCTTAAAAGGGTTGTAACAGTCACACTTACAAACTCAGATCGTTTCACTGTGATGAGTGGCATGGTGCGATGATTGCTTGTGTGCGGTGCAGAGTTCCTGAGATTGTGTGGGTGAAAGCTATGTTTGAAAAGGCTCTGACATGCAATCATATTTTTATTACCAGTCGGTCACATCATAACCATTGAAATGAGCAGGCAAAGCAGCATGCCTGTATGGGATGAAACTGTGCATGTCATATCCTTACTCCTCATTTTAGTATATGTAAATTGTCTTTTAAGAGCTATAAAAACATACAAAGCACCACCACTGTTCTCTGTAGTTTTGTAGTTTAATAAAGCTCCAATTCGAAAGATGTTTTTATTCCCAGGGGACAGGCACATGCAATTTTTTCCTCCACATATCTGATGAATAGCAGCAGCAAGATGGATGGTACGGCACACCTTTGTCCCAGCTCTGAAAGGGTGACAAACTCTGATATAAAATAAAGCCATCACGCTCTGAAGTGACATGAGCGGGATAAAGAGGGCTTTGTGTGTCTGTGTGTGTGCACATGTTTGTGCGGTCTGCATGCCTGCCTGACTCTGCAAATGGAACTTTGTATGAACACTCTGATCAGTGCGTCTCTTTGGCTGGAGTGAAGCCTGGCTATGAATATCAATTGTGCATTCATCGCTAGTTACTCCCCCTGACGCCCCACCTGACATAAAAGCGAATCAGCTTTCTGTTTGTGTCAGCGTTTACCAAGATGCTCTGCATGGCTCAAAAGAGGGAGCCTCCTTCACCCAGCCTCCTTACCTCAAGGGCATCGACAGACTGTCTGTGCTGTATGAAGTTGTAGGAAAGTGGATACAATGAATGTCCGCGGTAGTTGTCTAAGGTAATAAAAAAAATTTTAGCTTCTTGTTAGCAAAGCAGCTGTGAATGTCACTCAGATAGAGCATCTTGTGAGGCAAAATGACATGACAAAAGCTCAGTGTGAGCACATATTTGCAGTACCATCATTCTGTATGACTTACAAACACGCTTACATAAACATGAATTGCACTACTACTACTTAAGCCATTCCTTCACTCATTCATTAGCCATACCGCTTATCCTTCTTTGGATCGCAGCTGACATTGGGTGAGGGCGGGGCACACCCTGGACAGGTCACCAATCTCTCACATGGATGACATAAAGAGACAAACAACTATTCACGCTCCCGTTCGCATAGGCGCCAATTAACCTAACCTGCATGTCTTTGGATTGTGGGAGGAAGCCAGAGTCAGGCATCAGAAGAACGTGCAAACTCTGCACAGAAAGGCCCCAGACCCAGAACCTTCTTGCTGTGAGGCAACAGTGCGAACCACTGCACCATGATGCCGCCCTTTTAAGCCATTTAAGTATTGAAAAAGGCTGATTATTCATTGGCTTTTTTCCAGGCAGTAAATAATTCCATGCAGCTTAGTATCAGACCAATCAGGGTTTATATTGATCGCTTGTGTAATCATCACCCTGTATTCTCCTGTCAGCCATTCCCACTTCACTATTGAGCAATTAATCTCAACAACCACAGCTTGAGCCATGCCACACTTGGTGATGATAAGGTGACAGGTGTTGAGGAAAATGTCTAATTTCTTCCTGCTCAATCATTTCACTGTATCTGCTGTGCAATCCAACTATTTTCTGTCCGTTTCATGATTCTCAACCCACCTATAGAAAGCGGTGGGTTGTCCCTCTCGGTTTTTGCAACTGATCTCTTGGTGTGCGTGTATGATTGATTGTGGGGGTAAATGGATTCTTGTTTCATGTGCTCTAGAAATAATTGTAAGTAAACTGCAAACACAACACGTTAACCAATAAAATTGATGTTTTGCAGCATACTTACTGTACGGATCTATCAAAGCGCGTGCCATTTCACTCTCACCTTCAAGCTTAGAAGAAATTCATCTAATGATCCAGGCAGGGAGATAAGACTAATATAAAATAAATAAAAGAGTGTGCTGTAATAGCAGTGGGAAGGCAGCAATGACACAGAGACCCCATTGCTCACACTACGCTCTCATTATCTGCTGTGACTCCAGGTCTTCAGTATTAGCCAACAATAAGCACTCTGCAGGAACATCTGCTCTGCCAGCACGGGTTATTTTAAGACTTGAGAGAGACAGCCATGGAGAAGGAGGAAAGATATACCAAGCTATTTGTGGTGGAAATAATAAAGAGAAGGCAGGCCATGGAGGGAGACGGAACATGAGAAGTGGAGTAAAACTAATACATATAAAATTACAAAATAATTTGCAACTGAAAGGTGAAGGCTGTGAGGGGCAGTTTAAAAGTTAAACTAGAGAAAATGTCCCGTGGGCACTATAGGGAAGACAAATCAACCAATTACTATTTATGAGGGTCACGTCAAAGCCCAGAGTTTGGATCAAAGATGAACTGATATGCAAGAATGTAATATTGAGCCTTTTGGTGGTACAAGAGGCCTAATTTCATGGCACTTCCATCCTTTTCTTTTAACATCTAAACCAGGTCCTCCAGAGATAAGCCTCCCAGACCCTGTGTATTGGTGAAGTGTACACAGTAGATGTAGAGGAGGGCTAAGAATAGCATAGATGCTTGAAAGGACTAATCAAGCTGGACAACAATGTCAAAGCAATTCATCCCATGCTGAACTCAGGTGTGCAAACCCTAGAACATCCTCTGAGGCCCCTGTGGTGTTACGTAACTCATCTCTTACTGGTTTTAGTCAAGACGAAAGAAAAGCGAACCGACTATTTGTAGAAATTAACTCTGTTACTGTTAAATACCCTGAACACATCTCTTGCAAAAACTGCATGTATCAATGATTCTGTCGTACTCTGCTTCATGTAAGTCAGTCATCTTCCAGCGGTGGGGAATCTTACCTTTTGTCTGATTTCCTCCTCCATTTTGACCGGGGAGCCCAGCTCAGCTACCTGTTTAACTCCATCGCTGGCAAAGCCACCGTATTCCCACAGCACATAATTCTTAGAGTGGGACGAACCAATTATGGCTGACCAGTGATTGGCACGACCTGGTGAAGTCACACAACAAAATAATTAATTAGTTTGACACTCTCAGGCTTTTCCTTGAAGTGAAAGTATCGCAGCATTATTCACTTAGCAAATATTTCTTTTGTCCCTCTAGCAGCTCTAGAGATGGCGGTGAGTTGATTTGGCCATCAGTCAGGCTGACTGTCTGATTGACAGCCCAAGCACCTCTTTTGATGCAACATAACCTTTATAATGAATAGTGATTAGTTTCAGTCTACAAAATATTCAGTGTTGCTGCAAACAACCTACAGTGTATTACAAAATGTTATGCTCTCTTATAATCCTTTCATTCTCTCTCTGTATCTCACTCACTCAGGACAAAGGCGTGTGTGCCCAAGTGACATACAGAAAAGGGGCTAGTGGAGCTTTATGTCTGCCTATATACCTGTAAGCTTACAGAGAATGCACCAGTGGTAGTATCTATGATGATCCATCAGAGGTGACAGCATGGGCTTAAACAAACTTGAGCCTTACATAATTAACTTTGAGACAGTGGAAGGTAAAGCCCTGGGGTACTCTCCACTGTTGTGTAAGGCATAATAAGGCATAGAGTACCACTGCTCATCTAGCACTGATGTGCTCCCTGTTGATGTTTGCAGGTCATTTTGAGGTATCCTAACTATCTCACTGTGAGTCCTCAGTGGTCTTACATGTCTACCTCAACAGCAGAGAAAGTGTCTTGAATGACTTTATTACCTCCCTTGCTGTTATACTATCCCCCTGCCCAAGATGTTATTATGTACATGGACTGGAATGACATCCAGCTTCATCACCTTGAAAGCACGATGATGATTTAACAGCCTCCATCAACAGTCTTCCATCCCCAGTTCTGAAGACATAAAATTCAGTCGCTTTTGAGAGCTACTCATCAAGTTGACAGATTATCGCTGGGCTCTGTAATGGAATCCTTTACATTAACAACTTCACCATTTGTCTGAACACTATTATGCCACCTAGTTAGTCAAAGTGAGGTTCAGTCAAATAGGCCATTGGTCTGGCTCTCATCTTTATGCCCTAAATAGAGTCCTTACTCTGCAGTTCTGTAAGTCACCCATTTCAGCCTTCTGCTCGTTCCCTGAGTGAGTCTCAACAAAGATTAATCTCCTTTACAATTTAATCCCCATGTTTGCAGTATACTGTAAAGGTATATTGATGAACTTTAAACAGGACTTCACATGTATGGCTATAGTTGATAAGGTTGAACCCCTTTCACGGAAGACATTTATTCTCTGACTTTTTACTTCTACAATATTGTATTTCACTAAGATCTAGAAGATTGCCTATACGCATAGCCAGACTGGCGAGTGTGTCCCCAAAACGATGGTTCTGACAATTGTGAGCATAAATTGTAATAAAAAATGTCTAGATTTCGGTCAGATTTCTCTTTTGTGTTCTAACCAAGGACAGATTCAACAGCTGGAGCATCTTGAAAGTGCTGCAGCAATGTTTTTACTTTTAAAATATTTTCCTTTTTTAGCATAATTTCACTGGTTGCCTGTTTCAGTTTTACTGATAACTTTTCTGATAACTAATCTTCGTGAACCTCTAATGATACTCCAAGCCTGCACAGAGCCTTCTAACTCTTCCTGTGTCCCAGTTAAAGACTAATGATGACCACGATTTGGAACGACCTGTCTGATCATCTCTTAGGGCCTGATCTCAATGTGTTTTTAGCAATGAAAGGTGCCCTTTTCTTATTGGTGAATTGTTAAATGCTTTTGTGCTTCAGGTGCACTACATTTATCTGCCTAGCAGTTCATGTGGAAGCACCTTCGGAGCTCTCATCTGAAACTAAGGGAAGGTTAGTGGTGGCTGGTTCTGCTTGGTCAGAGAGAGAATATCAAAATATATGTCAGGTTTAGAGTGCTCTGTCTCAAATATATGGTCAGCCAGCCATCCATCCATCCATCCATAATGAGCCCAAATCTAGCAAAATAGACTGTTTGGAGTAACTTCTCAACAATGGTTAGATTGGCCAAAAGATGCGGTCTTGAGCTGGGAAATGTCACCAGTACAAATCCTGGAGATCTTACTTTTTCAATAACTGAATTTTATGTTTATGTGACGTAGGATATAAGGACTACAAAAGTGAAGCGTGTTTGGAATGTTTTGGATGTTTGGAGTCTAAGAACACATAAATGGTCCATGCCTTGATTGTAGCAAGGACAGGATAAAAAATAAATCTTTATTCTACTTCAGTCATTTGATGTTTGAAGGCTTTTCAGTCCTTGTATGGGTGGAGGACAACTTTATGAAATGGTAAAGATTACAGAAACAGAGGATGCCATTTACAACTTACAGTACCAGCCCCATAAATCCAATCAGAAGGTGTTGGACAGAGTAAGGAGACGGAAGATGGAGGGCAGCTGTTATTTTGGTGTATATTTCTCAGTCTGGACTCCAATATATCTCTTCCCTTTTGTAAGAGAAAATCGACAATGATGGGTTCTCTTTATTTGATCAATACACGGATGTTCAATTCTTCACTTCTCTCTTTCTCTCTTGCTCCTGCTACTCCCGTACAAAAATCTTTGTTGACAACCAGGCCATTCTCTGTCTCCCTATGTCCGAGTCAGCTGCAGTCGCTTGGGTTGAACAGCCATGCACTGCTGCATGACTTACTATGGGGACAAAAGGGAGAAGGAAAATAGAACTGTCAAGGTTATCATGTTGGCAGTAAAAAAAAAAAAAAAAAGGAAAAAGGTTCTGTTGGCCTGTTTTACAGAGAGTTTTTGGTCTCAGAATGTGTGTCGCCAAAGTGGTCTATGGCTCCTGCACTTGAAGGACATATGTTAAAAATAGAAGGATGATATGTGACACAGTGGAATATCTCAGGTAGTAAAAAGGCACGCAGAACAACTTGCTACAAAAGACAAAGTCAGACAAAGAGAACTCAAATAAGGACAGATTATCATGCTTTAACTCTATTGTAATCAATGAATGCTATTGCCTAGTACACTATGTACAGTGCTATAATGCCAAGTTACCTAGGATAGGATGACTTTGTGCAAGGAGAAATCCAACTGTAGCATCCTAAGACTGAGGATGAAGCAGAGGGCACAAAGCTTGCCCTATCCTCTTTACAGTATCTGCGAGGTGTGTGTGCGTGCGTGTGCATGTGTATACGTGTGTGTGAGTGAGTCACATACCAACTACTCCCTCCATAAAACAGTAAATTAGGGCTCCGTTCAATCTCAGGGTTTATCTTACTCTACTCTAATCAGTATATTGATCTGACTGGCGAGAGCCTGATTTAGACAAGAGAGCCTGTGTAATCCTTAAGTCCATTCACATCCTGATAGTGTGGCTCAAGGTTATATGCACATCACACCCAAGTGTAGTATTGTAGCTCACCACCCACATGCCTACTGCAAGCCACGTAATGGGGCTAAACCACCTACATGTGGAGAACATATCCCAGAGTTATTGGGGCTACAGTAAAACAACCAAGATTGAAGGATAAGGTTGCCAATATTCTATATTTTTGTTTTACTCAATACATTCTAACTTCTGTACCTAGTTTGTGACTCTGAGCCCAAAGCCCAATTTGTTCAATTCAAGACTTAAGTCTTTAGAAGTGGGTCATGAATATGTTTTTTCAGTTTTTAAAAAGGCTGAATTATTTCCAAAAACAGCTGGGTACTGTCGTGTTAGCAAAAGTTAAGGAAGCAAACAGCATATTTGTTGGGGACTAATTTCAGCTGCAGATGTGGTGAGCTGCTGAGTATTTAGAGCAGCAGCACAGTGTATGTGGATTCAACTGAAAATAAACTATAATGCCCATGTTCATCATAATAAAGGAACATGTCAGCTAGTGCAAAGGTGATGTTCACTAATGTGTTTTTAATAGCATTTGGAAAACAGTGGAGGACTATGACATGGTAGTCTTCGGAATAAACTGCAAGAGGCTTTGGCTACAATTCACAGCTGGTTTAGGTGTTTTCATGGGATTTTATGACAGTAAAATAAAAGAAAGTAGTATATCACCAGACTTATTCTTAAATCGTGTGATAGAGCTGCAGTGGCATGAAGGACAAATAGACGAGCTTGTGCTTACGGGGATAGTCTTTGGGATGAATCTTCTCCGACCAGTTCCCATAAAAGGTGACTCTGTACTTTGCTGTTCCACAGGCACAACAGTCAAGCAGAGGTTTATCTGTAGCATCTCCGTACAGGGATTCTGTAGAGAAGTGAAGGGAGGGTAGAGGGGTTGAAAATAAAATGAGCAAGAGAGAAATACAGAACACCGTGAGATAGGCATTGAGAGATTGCTCATTAGAATAGGGAGCAGATGAGAGTGGTGCCCATCATATAGGAGATGTGTGGTTTGAGAAAGTGGGGAGCCATGGGGGTGGGAGGGTG